ATTAGCTTCTGATTGAAAAGTGATTAAAATGAAACACAATATATGACGACTAACGACTAATGACTATACCTATTTAAGTTCTATTTTATTTTCATTTAAATTGGCTTTTCATTTTTCTGGGCATTTTACTAAGTTTTGTAAATTTGTAATATTGTTACTGTGCATAAAATCGTATTTTTAAGGCATTGTTTTTTTTATTGCATTTATATCCATGCCCTATTTATAACTTAATATGACTTTATTCTACAGTCGATTAATATATCCACTTCTAGCCAGCCAGTATTTACTTAATATAACTAACATTAAATTGTACACAATAAAAAATATAATATAAATATATTGTACCTACATAATAGTAAAATATAAAAGATAATTTGTGATAATTTGATGGGAATTAATAAGCTGATAACTAAAGGTACAGTTTCGTACGTTCAATGTAACGTCCTTAATTCAAAAAAGTGAATTCTTGAACTTCTTTTTTATTTTATTGTAGTGTACTAGTGTATCGTTTGATGATTTTTTAATATTTACTTATCTATTTGTTGTTTAAAATGGAAACTAAAAGAAAGAGTGGGGTTGAGAAAATCAGAGAGAGAGAGAGAAGGATACTCTTAGAAAAATCAAGTTAAAGTAGTTTAAACGAACCTATTTTTTTCATCCGTTATGGATCACTTATAGAGTAGGTAATAGAAAAAGTGATATACATTATACTGTGCAGTACATTTAATTAAGATAAAATACTAAATAGGTACATTGAGAATCTTAAGTTGTCTCCTGAGGAAATTAAAAATGAGTAGGTGGAGGATGCAACCATTATTTGTCAAAACTTTGGTACCATATTTAAGTCTTACATTTAGTGATGACGACATTTTAAGGGCCGGTTAAAATATAAATTTCCCGGGCCGAATAGTTGCCCCAGTCCGTCCCTGTACTTAAATGTTTTTATTCTTTGAATTTATTCAAGTAATTTAATTTATGGTACTAAAATCATAACAATCATACTCGATACTTACTGTATTATCACGCGGGGTTTAAATGTATGTATCATTTTAAAATATTAATTTTAATTTCGATTACATAGGTATATTGAATTTGATTAGGTTGATAATTATTTTTTTATTGATTTTATTTATCTTGAGACAGCTAATAAATAATTTTGAACTTATTTAGTATTTGCGTGTAATGAATTATATAGTAACCAGGATTTTGTAATGCTTCCATTACTACAGTTATCCTTCACTCGTTATTCCCTCGTACGGTTTACTAATTTGGAAGTTATGTACACAGTAAAAACGGATAGGTGTAATAAAATATTATTAAGTGTTGCACGAAAATATATAAATATACAAGACTTATACCATAGAACAGAATAATTTGAAACTTGACATTTGATTGAAAAACAAGTAAATAACTTTAATACCCTCGAAGCCCTGTAGTAATGTTTACTTATGGTTTTGAGTCGCAACTCGCGGATGACATTTTGAGCGATGAGCTGCTTAAAATGAATATTTAATTTAGATAAACACAATCGTTTGTCTTGTACATAATTTATATATGCGTTGGTTTGCCGTAAATCCTATGCATGTCGCGATCGACCAAAAAAAAAAAAAAAAGGTTGTCAATATACAAAAAAATATATTAAGTGTACAGGCGTGTTACACTTATTTTATTACTTTTTATTTACAATATAAATTCACAGTTTAACACTATAACACTACACGTATTTTAATATATTTGATTACAAATTATTATTTTTAACTTATTACTATTTACTACTATAACTATACTACTACTTTTATTATTAATACTATATTATTATGTTTATTTAATCATTCAATGAGATGTTTGTGCTTGCATTTGATTTGATAATTTCACAAACTCTGGGGTGTATGATGACAATGCTAATCTCAAGCTATCTTCAGAATGCATATCAGTCAAACGTGATCGGGCCTTACTTTTGGCGATTCACATAGATAGTCGACCCAAAGCAGGAATATACTGACTCAGCACGTTGTCTTAAATTGGGAAATTCTTCCTTGCGATAGATAATAGATATCAGTGTATAATCTTGTTTTTCATAGTTATTTATTGTCTTTTTCTAAATGTAATTTTTATATTCTTGCCAAGAATATAATCTTTGTATATCCCAAGAGTTTCTTGGGTTATACAAAGATACACAAATTGTTCAAAAATGTAAGAAAATGCGAAAGGGTGTCGCGATCGACTTGAATTCATCTCGCGCGATCGACCGGTTGGCCACCCCTGTTATATATAATATATATATGTCACGGTCAAAAGCAGAAATTGGGCAAACCTCAGAAATGCCTGGGCAAAACGCGAACTGCCCACAATCCTTGGGCAAAATGTCATATTTCGGCTTTTGACCGGGCAAACCTAGTTATGACCACCTCATTTGGGGAAAACAGTATACTGACTTTTATCGTAATGGCAAAACCGTAGTGTCTTATATACGTTCGCTAATATTAAATACAAATAGTGATTTTTGTCGTACGAACTTATTACCATTATAAATGACCCCACGTATCTTGTTAATTTATTGTTTTCAATTCGTTGTTATCGTATTTTATCAACTCGTTACCTATAATATTAAAGGTACACAAAATACACCTTATCTAAATGATACAATATTGTACCGTAGTTACTGTAGTTCGTATTTTTGTGAGCTTATATTAGTACGTCTTTAGCAATGGCTAACGAAATGTGTGTGTCTGATTTTAAAACTAAATTTGAATTAAAACTTAAAGAAATTACAAAAAGTGAATGCAGTGCTCTAATAAGTGATACAAGATATGATGAACTCATAAAAGAGGTAGAACAAGAGTGAAGGTCAATTCCCATAAGACAACCAGCGAATACAGGAGGGCGAATTATTATTTAAGTGTATTCAATTATATCTGTACAATATTTTAAGATGATTATTTTTTTGTATGTGGTTATTATAAACTCTACAGTTTGGCTCAAGTGAGGTTTAAATGTATTAATTAAGTTTTATTCAATTATATTTGTATAACTGTACTATTGACACTGTTACGTATGGCCCTTCAGGGATCCAAAAGCTGTTGCACTTTTACAATAAAATATAGTCAATTTAAATATAAGTCAATTGTAATTTATTAAAACCAATAATAATTAATATAGTCGTGGTGAATTGTATCGTCGTGAGTTGACTCGTTGTAGTAGTCGATAATCTCCATGTAAGTTGTGTGTAATGGCTGGTGCATAAGCTGCTCGCTCGGTCTTGGCGGCTCTGGTACATCTAATGTGTATTGGGGCCCTGGCCTCTATATATACGAATATACGAAGGCGACGCCCTTTGAATTGAGCGGCTCGTGGCATATAGGCGCCTGTGCATGCCCAGAGATCGGACGAAACACAAAACCGAAGGACCACTCGACGAGTAGAGTCGAGACCAAAATGTAGATGTTGATGGAACGGTTACAATATCAATATATGTTGCCTTGTAATAATTTGTGTAGGCAACCTAATACACACGACGACGAATTTCCTCAGTATAGGAATGGGAGGTGTGATATTGGCGGAAACAGGATGATACAGTTTAGTTATGGGGGGGGGGAGTCTCTGCGGTCGATTCGGTTTGGTGCAATGACTACAGAGCTCACATGAATTGGTTTAAAACCTTAAGATTAACTTAAAACTAAGGCAGACGGCTATACTGGTCGTCCCTCTGGTCGACTCGACGCACTGGAACACCGGAGGCGGCCTCTCACACCACTCGAGTGAGTGGCTGGCGGACTTGCGCAAGAGTAGGTGGCACTGGATAACGGTGAGGCGCACAGTGTACGTACAAGCCGCCGGATCAGGTCACCCACGGATGACAATAGTATAGTGCAATAATATAATTTAATAACTCACGGTTGGAATAATAACAATTGGACGTTTATTATAAACAATAACGATGATGCCGTTGCAGTAACGGCTTCCAGTAGCGACGCACGTACCGCAATGATAATAATTTAAGATTGGTGTGTACCAAAAAATACGTACACATATAATAATTTATGATTGGTGTGTACTAGTGTTTGAAAATTTCATGAAATTTAAAAAAATGAAATATTTCGTGAAATATTTCATGAAATATTTCAAAATATGTGAAATATTTCAGTATTTTAATATATTTTGTTTTATTTTTAAATAAGTTTTATATTTACATATAATTGTCATAAATTACCTTCATCACTATATGGTACCTGTATGTATACCGAACCTTTGGTATTATACATTTAAATTGGTATTCAAAATTTTTAAATATTTTAATGTTTAAATGATACAAGTAGGTATACAATATTATACATGTATATTGTATACTTACTTAATTCTGACATTAGAATTTAGAACACTGAACATTGTGTTAAAAAAATTAATAAATTGTGTTTTTATTTGTGTTAAAAAAATTTCAATGTTTCACGTTTTTGTGAAATATTTCACAACTTAGTGAAATATTTCAAAATGAAATATTTCATTTGAAATATTACATGAAATATTTCTCATACTTCAAACCCTAGTGTGTACCAATAAATACGTACACCCAACAAAGATTGTAAAAAACACGAAAACAAGAAAAAACGCTGCAATAGCGGAACAATAATAATGTTTAAACGACTAGGATAGAACAACAATAAATTTACCACCCGTATGCATAGTCCGATACTTTAAGGGCACCTTAAATCACTTAGGTAATACTTAACTACGGGACACCTAAGTGATACGTAGTCGACACGTAATTTTTGGTTGCATAGTTGAAATTTAAGTAACCCGTAGTTAGGTACTACTTAAATATTAAGGTATTACTTAATATTTATTTTTCCTCAAAATTATTTTATTATTCCATGCTTATCAATAATTGTTATGATAATTATTGGTGTTATCAGTTTGATACTTATAATTAATAATAAAGACATTATAATCAAACTGATTTTTTCAACTTGAAAGTTGAAAGTTTAAGTACCTACTCGCACAGAATGGATTTAAAGGCAAATAAAATGTCGAAACGTGAAAGAGGTCCAAATTGGGAAGAAGATGAAAAAACTATATTTTTCCATTGCTACCAAAATGTGGCCAAAGTATTGGAAGATCCGAAAAAGGATTTTAATACAAATACCAAAAAAAATCAAGCTTGGTTAAATCTAATGAACAATTTTAATGGTCATTCTAACGTTAAAAAGGTAAT